TATGTAAAAAACTATATAGAACTTTCATTCATCAAAGTAATCCGAAATAACTAGAAATAAAACCCGCTTCCCATTTACCCCTAGCCGATCTGAAACCCATCCGAAATATTTCACGACCGGGGAAACATTCAGAAAACGCAACAGTAGGAACATTCACGTTACATGCTGCTTTTGAGGAGCCACTACTTCCAACGCCTAGCTGTTAAGTTTTTGAAACTTCTACTTTTCTGTTTCTTATAAACTACAATAATTCTGAGAAGTTATCAGGGAGGGGCTCGACATATTGAGCCATCGATTGGCGGAGAAATAGCACAGGCAGCTGGCTCCAGTGCACTACTTTGCATTAACTACAAAATGGATATTTATAAGGTCTGTGCCGCAGAAATACTGAAGCAGCGTTTAAAGGTCATCTCACTCGAAAGCCTGAAGACTCATAGAGGACTGATAGGAAAGCAAAAACGCGAGGGATGTGGGGCTCTGATTCGTCCAGAAGCTAGCGCATTTGCAGTCTTGTTCGCTGCGGAAGAAGGGGCGTGTCAGTGTGACTGGGTTTGGTGTGCCACCAACCCGTTCTCCTTCAGCTGTTAAAACGGATAAGCTATAACAACTAAGGGAAAATGACTGGTAGAATGATATGAACAGTCCTATGATCGAAAAAAAAATAAAAGGACGGGCTGCCGCTACGTCAAATACATCACGTCCCATTATTCGCAGCGAACAAGACTGTAAACACATGCAGGGAGCATAACTTTACTACTAATTCCTTCAACGCCCAATGAGCACAGTTAGTGGCAACATGGGGAAAACTCTGCTCTCAGTAGCACAATCTCACCCGGGCCATTTATCCCTGAAGTTTTCTGGTACAAAGAGCTGCCCTCTGCTCATTCCATTTAGAAGGCTAAGCCATTTGTTGGAATCAAAAACTATGAAAGTTCAAACAAAACAAAATGTCAAAGATGGAGTTCAGTGTGAAGACCAAAATCGACCGGGCTATGTGAAGATGTCGATTTGATCTACATTGGCGCCTGTTGGGGCATTGCAAAGGTGCGCCGACCGTTGATGGTGGCCTAAATTGTTCCCATTGTTTTTATAGAATTGCTTCGATTTTCACTATCCATGGCTTTCCTTTTATCAAAATTATAATTCTAGATCAACTGGTCATTTCCAGAGGTGGCTTGGTGTTTCGATTAGCCTGACATCCTTAGGAATTGTATGTCATTACCAGTTGACCCCGAATAAGACTGTAGCGCTGCTCAATATTCGTTTGAAAGTGGTGTGAGTGATTCAGTTTGTATCAGAGTTTCATTGCAGTTGGTCGTATCCAAACATATTGAACATTTCAGAAAGGTCGATCATCACTAACCAAAATGCAAAACCAAGATAACATGTACACGCCAAGGAGTGCCCCACAACAGCAGCATACAGCAGAGTAGGTGGTTACTTTACTTTACTGAAGGGCACTAAAAGCTATTCATATTTCTAGGGAATCGCTACCTAAAACAGGATTGGAACGGTTACGTGACTACATTGGACGAAGATGTTGCTCATGCTTCTTGAAGGTGTGTTTCCTGAGACCTTCAATTTTGGACCAAATTCCAAAAGTGACTGTAACAGTATAGGGCATTCCTTGTGTTGCTTTTGTGGGAGCTCAAATAATCAATGATCAATAACCCCTCACCGAGCCATCCCAACCTGCCTTCCCCTTGCTCATTGTATAGACTGGGTTGAGATTGGAGTGCCAAAACAAGGGCAGAGTGAACCGCCTTGGAAGCAGGGCTTAAAAATTCAGCAGTTCGCGAGTATCTCCAGCTTTGAGGGTCGTCCCTACTCCACCCACCCATTTGTAGGCGTGGCATTTTTGCCATTTCTCACAGTTGATCAGAGGTGTTCACCTCCCCCTCCGTTCAACGGATGACAGGGGGAGGTTGGTATTGAAGAAAAGTTTTTCAAAAGAGATTAAAAGTTCGAAAGCAGCCCACATTTTTACTTCCCACGCTATGTTCTCGGAGGAAGCCCCATATACTGAACGAGGCCCGCTGGGCGCGGAACAAAGTTGTCTTTCCTACCCACTTTTTCTTTGGCTTTTTGAACATATCCTATTTCCTATCCTAGTGGGGTAACATTGTATAAACGGTAAAATTTGAGAAAAATAAGGATCTATGCACTAGAATTTTTCTATCTAATTTTCGCATGATATATGTAGTTAACTGGTACTTATCATAAAGAAAAGCTAGGGCTGCTG